TCTCTCTCTCTCTCTTTAAAATAATAATAAAAAACTTGGGGATCAACCTAACAAAAGAGGTGGAAGACCTCTACAATAAAAACTATAGAACACTAAAGAAAGAAATTGAAGAAGACCTTAAAAGATGGAAAGATCTCCCTTGTTCTCGGATAGGCAGAATTAATATTGTCAAAATGACCTTACTATCCAAAGTGTTATATAGATTTAATGCAATTCCAACCAAAATCCCAATGACATTCCTCACAGAAATAGAAAAGGCAATCATGAAATGCATTTGGAAAAATAAGAGAACCAGAATAAACAAAGCAATCGTTAGCAAGAAGAATGGAGCAGGAGGCATCACAATACCAGAACTATACTACAGAGCTATAGTAACAAAAATGGCAATGGTACTGGCACCAAAATAGACATGTAGACCAGTGGTAGAGAATAGAAGACAGAGACAAACACACATAAACACAAGTTCTCTCATACTAGATAAAGGCGCCAAAAACATACATTGGAGAAACATACATTCAACAAATGGTGCTGAGAAAACTGGAAATCCATATGCAGCAAAATGAAATTAAAACTCTCTCACCATGCACAAAACTCAACTCAAAGTGGATCAAGGACCTAGGAATTAGACCAGAGACTGCACCTAATAGAGGAAAAGCAGACCCAAATCTTCATCATGTCAGCTTTGGACCTGACTTCCGTAATGATTCCTAAAGCACAAGAAATAAAATCAAGAATCAATAAATGGGATTGATTTAAACAAAAGCTTTCGCAGCAAAGGAAACAATAACATGAAGAATGGTAGAAAATCTTTACCACCTGCACCTCAGATAGAGCATTAATCTCCAGGATGTATAAAGAACTCAAAAAACTTAACATCAAAAAAATAAATAACCCAATAATATTTTATCTCACTCCAGTCAGAATGGCAATTATCAAGAAAACAAGCAACAAGGCTGGTGTTGTGGCTCAGTGGCAGAGTGCTTGCCTCACACATGTGAGGCACTGGGTTTGATCCTCAGCACCACATAAAAATAAATAAAGATATTGTGTCCACCTATAATAAAAAAAATTAAAATATTAAAAAGAATACAAACAACAATAAATATTGGCAAGGATATGGTGGGAAAGTTTCACTCATACATTGCTGGTGGGACTACAAATTGGTGCAACCACTGTGGAAAGTAGTATGTCGTTTCCTAAGAACACTTGGAATGAAACCACCATTTGACCCAGCTATCCCACTCCTTGGTTTATACCAAAAGGACTTAAAATCAGCATATTGGGCTGGGGTTGTGACTCAGTGGCATAGTGCTTGCCTAGCATGTGTGAGGCACTAGATTCAATTCTCAGCACTGCATATCAAATAAGAAAATAAAGGTCCATTGATAACTAAAAAGATATTTTTAAAAATTCAGCATACTACAGTGATGCAGTCACATCTGTGTTCAGCTCAATTCATAATAGCCAAACTATGGAACCAACCTAGGTGCCCTTCAACAGAAGAATGGATAAAGAAAATGTGGTTCATATACACAATGGAATATTACTCAGCCTTAGAAAAGAATGAAATTATGGCATTTGTAGGTAAATGGATGGAGCTAGAGAATATTATGCTAAGTGAAATAAGCCAATCCCAAAAAACCAAAGGCCAAATGTTTTCTCTGATATGCAGATGCTAATTCACAATAAGAGGGGGTGGCTAGAGAAAAGTAGAGATACTTTGGATTAGGCACAGGGGAGTGAAGGGAGGGGAGGTGGTTTGGGGTAGGAAGGATAGTAGAATGAATCAGACATTATTATCCTATGTACATATATGACCACATGACTGGTGTGATTCTACATCATGTACAACCAAAAGAATGAGAAGTTATATTCCATTTGTATATGATGTGTGAAAATGCATTTTACTGTCATGTGTAACTAATTAGAATAAATAAAAAAATAATCCACTTGTGGTCAAGTGAAAGGTTTGTACTCGTAGAATAAAGTGGACTCCATTACAATGTGATTTGATTTTCCCCTCTGGATACTTGAAGTATGGTATATTCATGAAGGAGGATTTTACTTAATCATTTTAAATAATAGTAAACCTTTACATGTTAACATAAACAATATCTTATGAAAAATAACTATTTAAAATAAAGTTTTAATGATAAGAATGGCTACTGTAATTTCCAAGAATGTTCCCCCCCCAAAAAAAAGCATGCATTGGAAACTTAATTCACAGTACAAGAATGTTGGGAGGTGGGGTACTTATGGGAGATGCTCAGGTCATAGGGTACCTACCTTCATGATTCTCTTTTTTCAATACTGGGGATTGTACCCAGGGATTCTCTATCACCAAGCTGCTTCTCGTGTCCTTTTAATTTTTATCCCTAAGCTACTGAGGGTGGTCTTGAATTTTCAGTCCTTTGCCTCAGCCTCCCAACTCTCTGGGATTGCAGGCACGTGCCACTGTGCTCAGCGTCATGACTCAGTCATTGCCACTTGTACCTCCTGAGACTGTGAGTTTGATCTTGTGTCTTCTCTGGATCTTCTTCTCTCTTGTTCTTCTCCTTCCACCATGGGATAATGAGACAAGAAGACCTTCATCAGATGCAGCCCTCCCCCTTGAACTTCTTTTTTTTAAATTTTATTTTTAGTTATATATGGACTCAATGCCTTTATTTGTTTTTATGTGGTGCTAGGATGGAACCCAGGTCCTCACACTTGCAAGTGCTCTACCAGTGAGCTACAACTCCAGTCCCTTGAACTTCTTAACCTCCGTAACTATGAGCCAGTGGAGGTGTAATCATTCCAAGTTCCCATTCTCAGTTATTGTCACCACAGCACAAAATGGGCTGAGATAGAAACACTGTTTTTACATTTTTCACAAGCTTCTTTCTGTTTCTTCCCCCAGTATTGGGGATTGAACCCAGGACCTTGTACATGCTAGGCAAGTGGTCTACCACTGGACTATACCCCCAGCCCTCTCAGATTTAACATCTGACTTAGTTGAGGACAGCTGGTTTCCAGTGTCTGCTGCATTGACTCTTGCAGTATGTTGTTTTGGTTGAAATAGGTGCAGAAAATCTGGTCTCATACAGATTTGTAGTTGGGAAAGTTTTCAATAACTTTTCAGATAATTGTGTATCTTCTTTGACATTTCACTAAGACTTGATGAGTTAATCCATCTACCCTCCCTCTCTCTCTCCCTCCCTCTCTCTCTCCCTCCCTCTCTCTCTCCCTCCCTCCCTTCCTTCCTTTTTTCCTCAAACCCAGGCATGGACCCAGAGCCTCTAGCATTCTAGACAAGTGCTGTAGCACTGAACTATAGCCTCAGCAAAAGGTGTTTTCTTAAATGTCAGTTGCAATTTGTAATGTAAAACTGTATCATTATCCTTTGTTATTTAAAAATACATTGGTCTATTTTGCATGCTAAATGGATATTTGACTCATGCATAATTTTGGAACATATATGCTGGTCATTCAGAAAACTTTGGTGCACTGAGTTATATGCAGCCACATTTTGACAGGTTTTATTACATAATATTTTAAAAATCATTTTTGTTGCTGGGTATGGGTGCATGCCTGTAATCCCAGAAACTGGGGAGAATGAGGCAGGAGGATTGCAGATTCAAGGCCAGCCTCAGCATCTAAGTGAGGTCCTGAGCAATCTTGTGAGACCCTATCTCAAAAAAATAGAAAGAATAGGGAAGGGGCTGGGGTTGTGGCTCAGTGGCAGAGTGCTGGCCTAGCATGTGTGAGGCACTGGGTTGGATCCTCCGCACCACATTAAATAAACAAACAAACAAGCAAATTTAAATTAAAAAAGAAAGACTGGGGATGTAGCTCTGTGGTAAAGTAGCCCTTGGTTTGATCCCCAGTGGGCACCCCTCAAAATAAATTCACCCTTCGGGAGGCTGAGACAGGCGAATCATCAGACTCAGCAACAGCGAGTCACTAAGCAACTCAGTGAGACCCTGTCTCTAAATAAAATACAAAATAGGGCTTGGATGTGGCTCAGTGCTCAAGAGCCCCTGAGTTCAATCCCTAGTACCCACCCCACCTCAAGAAGAAATCATCCTTGTTAATGTTGACACAAACTCATCAGAAAAATCTTTAAATATTGGGAAACAAAGCTTATGGTGATAGAACAGATTTTCCAGAATTCTAATTTTTTACTTAAAAACTCAAATTTTAGGGCTGGGGATAGAGCTCAGTTGGTAGAGTGCTTCCTTGCTTTGCATGCACAAGGTCCTGGGTTCAATCCCCAGTACCACTAAAAAAAAAAAAAAAAAAAAAACCTCAATTAATATTTATTTTTTAATTGTAGTTGGACACAATACTTTTATTTTTATTCATTTATTTTTATGTGGTGCTGAGGATCAAACCCAGGGCCTTCCACGTGCTAGGTAAGAGCTCTACCGCTGAGCCACAACCCCAGCCCCCCAAAACCTCAATTTTTATTATTGGCAATAAATACTGTCAGTTGTTTTCCTTCATGTGACATGCACATTTTGTTCATTTTTGAGAAAGTATCTGTCAAATATCCAAATATGAATAACCATAGATTGTCAATTGTTCTTTCTAGTAAAAATAGTGCTGGGCTGGGGTTGTGGCTCAGTGGTAGAATGCTTGCCTAGCACTGGGTTTGATCCTCCGTACCACATAAAAATAAAATAAAGGTATTGTGTCCAGCTACAACTAAAAAAATAAATATTAAAAAAATAGTGCTACCAAAGTTCACATTATATTAAAAGAATTATCTACCATGACCAAATATTATTTTTTTATCCCATATTATCAAATTTGTCCTTGTAATGTATATAGTAATTCTTGGTCTAATACAAAAATGATAATCTCAATGTTGAAAGGGTATTTGGTAAACTTTAACATGTATTCATCAGTTTTTCTGAGATAACTAGGAATAGAAAGATACATTCTTAATATAATAAAGAATAGCCATCTTAAACCAAAAATGAGCATTGAATTTAATTGGAAATACTTTTAGCATTTCTTCTAAAATATGGGAAAGGCAATCATACTATGACCATTATTATGTAATTGCTTTAAATGTTCTAGACAATGCAATAATGTATAAAACATAGATGTATACTACAGAATCATCATTTACACACAATATAAAATTTTAACCTAGAAAATCCCAAAGCATCAACTTTTAAAGAACTTATTTATTAATCATATGTTTGGCAAATATGCTGAACATCCATACTATGACCTATAAACCACTAAAAAATAATTATATGGTCCAGTGTTTAGAATATTTCACTCATGATAGCAGTAGAAAATGTAAATGACTAAGGAATGACCCTAAGAGAAATATAAGAGCCTATGTAAAGAAAATGGAATCTCTACCATGATAGAAAGATATTATTATTTACATAAATTAGCATGTTATGATTGAGTATTTTCAATTTTTATTTTTCATTTTTTTTGGTACTATGGATTGAACCCAGGGGCTCTTAGCCACTGAGCCACATCCCTAGTCCTTTTTGTTTTTTTATTTTAAGATAGAGTCTCGGGCTGGGGATGTGGCTCAAGCGGCAGCGCGCTCGCCTGGCATGCGTGCGGCCCGGGTTCGATCCTCAGCACCACATACCAACAAAGATGTTGTGTCCGCCGAGAACTAAGAAAAAATAAATAAATGTTAAAATTCTCTCTCTCTCTCTCCCCCCCCCCCTCACTCACTCTCTCTTAAAAAGAAAAAAAAAAGATAGAGTCTCGCTAAGTTGCTCAGGACCTTGCTAAGTTGCTGAGGCTGGTCTCAAACTTGCAATTCTCCTGCCTCAGCCTTTATAGCCACTGGAATTACAGGTGTGTACAACTGTGCCTGGCTGAACATTTTTGAAATAGCAGGTATTTCAAAATTAATTCAGAACTTTTGTGCAATGTCAGTTAAAATATTAGTGGATTTAGATTTTTAAAAAAGTTATCCTTTAGCATATCTTAAAGAATAAATGGGCAACATTTGCTGACTTAACAACGAATAGGAAATTTACTTCACAAAATTTTTTTTTAAAGAAAGAGATAGCTAGAGAGAGAGAGAGAAAGAGAGAGAGAGAGAGAATTTTTAATATTTATTTTTTAGTTTTCGGCGGACACAACCACAACATCTTTGTTTGTATGTGGTGCTGAGGATCGAACCCGGGCCGCCCACATGCCAGGCGAGTGCACTACCTCTTGAGCCATATCCCCAGCCCCCACAAAATGTTATTATGAAAAATTTCACAGAAAATAAATAAATATTGTGCAATGGGTATCTAAAAATTTTTATATTACAAGATGCTAACATTTCTGTTCTTTCTCTATACAGAATAGAAGTTTAAATAAGAATGAATGAACCATGAGGCCTGTTTTAGATTTATATGAGCTGCAGAACCATTTTGTTTTTTTCCTATGAAACATAACTCTTCAAAAAGAATTATCTGTCCTTGCTGTCACAGATATTTTTTGTTTGCATGCACATGCACACACAACTTGTAGACTTAAAACGTGAAGCAAATTCTCATGCTAATAATGTTTCTCTATTTCTTTAGTTTTGCTGTGTGGAGTCAGTGTTATATTATTTGATATGTAGACATTCATAACCATTTGGACTTTATCACAGAATAAAATGATCCTTTAAAAAAATTTTTTAAATAGTGCTCCACAAAAGTGCCCAGTTGAGCTGGTAATGTAAGTAATTGTGTAAGTAATTTGACAACAATCATACTTAGTATGAAGGACTTTATGTATTCTTCCTGTGTCATCACCCTGAATAGTATGTATTTCTTAGTATTGAGATGTAGTTGATGATTTTTTTTTTGCTTCTTCAAGGAATTCTTCAGTGGAATTCAATGTATGAAGTCTTCCTGTGTCATCACCCGGAATAGTATATATTTCTTAGTATTGAGATGTAGTTGATGATTTTTTTTTTTTTTTGCTTCTTCAAGGAATTCTTCAGTGGAATTGCCTTTTTCTTTCCAGAAGTAACAGTGAGGAGTTCAACAACTACTATCACATTTTGGGACCACTACCATAACTTGTGCCAAGGTACCAGTAGTTTTACCAATCATTACTTTTGCACCATCAGCACAAATATTAATACCACAGAAAGATAAATAATACCCGAATTGTTTTGCCCTTTCCAATTCCCTTACAGTGTCTTAGGGCTCCAGGAATCCATGAACCATATTTGAGAACCACCCCTCTAGGATGCCAAAGGGAGAATAGAATATATATGTTTTACCAAATCTTATGAAACAGTACTAAATTTCTCCTCAATGTAGAAATTTATACTCTAGCAATTATGGTAATATCTGGCTGTGAATCATAGAGACCTAGAATAATAGGGACTTAAGTAAGGGAAATTTTAGCAATGTTGTCTGTGTGTAAGCATACAGCCTACATCACATGGGCCTTTGGATTGCACAATACCCCACCTGTACCATCTTGTGCATTTATTAATTGCATCTAAAAACATGCAGGTAGCCAGCCCTAGGCTTAGATAATGGCTCTATTTTTGAGGGCTAAATGTCTGATTAAAAACCAAGGATTTGGGATGGAGGTGTAGTTTAGTGCTATTCTGCTTGCCTAGTATGTGCTGGGCCCTGGGTTCAATTCCCAGTACCACACACACACAAAGAAGTATAATAAATGGCATGCTCATTACCACTATTTAGAAAACAACAACAGGGATTCTTGAGCTGGGGGTGTTGCTCAATGGTAGAGCACTTGCTTAGCATGTGTGAGGCCCTGGGTTCTACCCCAGCACCCCATGTACCCCTGCAACTCCAGGGGTTCTCAAACCAGGTACCATGGTATGTGCCTATCATTCCAGCCACTCAGGAGGCTGAGGCAGGAGAATCACTTGAGCCCAGGAGTTTGAGGCTAGCCTGGGCAACATAAAAAGATCTCATGTCTTGGGGCTGGGGATGTGGCTCAAGCGGTAGCGCGCTCGCCTGGCATGAGTGTGGCCTGGGTTCGATCCTCAGCACCACATACAAACAAAGATGTTGTGTCTGCCAAAAAACTGAAAAATAAATATTAAAAAAATTCTCTCTCTCTCTCTCTCTCTCTCTCCCTCTCTCCCCCCCTCTAAAAAAAAAAAAAAAAAAGATCTCATCTCAAAAAAAGAAAAAAGAAAAAAAATTGTGGGGGAATAGGAGAATAAGATTAGGGGACAATCAGGCCAGGCATAATCAGGCCAGCCAAATAAATAAATAAATAATTTAAAAATAATTTTATTTATTTATTTATTACAGGTGACACACACCTGTAATCCCAGCAGCTTGGGAGGCTAAGGCTGAGGCAGGAGGATTGCAAGTTCAAAGCCAGCCTCAGCAACTTAGGCACTTAGCAACTCAGCGAAACCCTGTCTCTAATAAAATATTTAAAAAAGGTCTGGAGATGTGGCTTAAGGGTTAAGTACCCCTGGGCTTAATCCCCAGGACACACACACACACACACACAAAAAAAAAAAAAAAAAAAAAAGATTAGGAGATAATCAGTTTCTGCTATAGTCTGGCCCTTTGGCTGGCCATTCATGTTTCTCTGTGCTCTGTTAACCTGGAACACACCTACACCTGAGAGAGACCTGTGTGACAGCCCAGCAGTCACAGCCTCCTGTGTGAAACACAGGCCTGTGCACTCTGCATTTACTCCAGCAGGCCCAGGCGCAGACCCAGTTGGCCCAGCGTGCTAGTCAGCTTTCTGTTACTGAGATAATCAACTTTTTTTTTTGTATTGGGGACTGAACCCAAGGGCACTTAACAACTGAGACACATATCCAGTCCTTTTTTAAAAAAATATTTATTTTTTGGGCTGGGGTTGTAGCTCAGCGGTAGAGTGCTCACCTAGCATGCGTGAGGCACTGGGTTCGATCCTCAGCACCACATAAAAATAAAATAAAGGTATTTGTGTTCACTTACAACTAAAAAATAAATACTTAAAAAATGTTTACTTTTTAGTTATATTCAAACACAATACCTTTATTTTATTTATGTATTTATTTTTATGTGGTGCTGAGGATCGAACCCAGGGCTTCGCATGTGCTAGGTAAGTGCTCTACTGCTGAGCCACAACCCCGCCCCACCTTTTCGTTTTTTGAGACAGGGTCTTGCTAAGTTACTTAGGACCTTCTTCAATTGTTGAGACTGGCTTTGAACTTGCCAGCCTCCCGAGTCGCTGGGATTGCAGGCGTACAACACCATACCTGGCGACATAGTCAACTTATACAGAGAAGAGGGTTATTCTGGCTCATGGTGGCAGAGCCTGCAGTGGCAGTTGGTTGGCCCCATTGTCTGTGGGCCTGTGGCAAGGCCACACTCTGTGGCAGTGTGCATGGTGGAGCAATACTGATCACCTCACTGGGACACAGAGGAGATGGGGACCCTGCAGTTGCCCTGGAGGGCACACCCCAGTGACCTAAGACCTCCCCAGGGCCTACCTCTTAAAGTTCCCATTGCCTCCCAATGTCACCAACCTGGGGACTAAGCCTGTAACACATGGCCTTTGGGGACACTTCAGGTCAAAACCATAGCATCCAGGGACTTATACATGAGAAGATAGGTCATTTGTCACCAACATTCCCAATGTATACTAGTGTATAAATCCAGTGACTTATAAACTAAAAAATATTTCAGGTGTCCCAGACAGAAGAGAATAAACATAGTAAGAGCCCATGTTTAGAGGAGGCAGCTGTCCCTTGACCGCTCTTCTCAGGTGTGAGTGACCAAGACTCACTCCTGATGGGTTACAGGATTCCTGAGGCAGCTCCTGGCTCCGTCCTCTGGGCTGCTGACTTTGGCCTCAGGCTTCTAGTCCGCATAGTCCCGACTAAGGAGGTGAACACTGAAGAGCTGCACTGGACCGGGGGAAGCTGGCTGGGAGCCAAGGCTGCAGTTCCTTTGGAGATGCTGGTGTGTCCCTGTTCTCAGTGTTCCTTAGCAGCGCATCTTGGCTTCACAGCATGAGTTGGGAGGGTTCTTACCCTTGCTTTCCAAATGCCTGTGTAGGATTGGTATTCTCTATCTCTTCAGTGCTTACTAGAATTCGCCAGTGAGGAAATCTGGGTGTGGAGTGTTTATGATAGGGAATTTACTTTTTAAAATAGCTTCAGGGTCAAACAGATTTTTCTGTTTCTTGTTTCAATTTTGGTAATTTGTGTTGTTCAAGGAATTTGTTCATTTAATCTAAGTTGTCAAATTTATTGGCATAAGGTTGTTCATAATATTTTTAATATCCTTTTCTTTTTGGTTATACATGACAGTAGAGTATATTTTGACATATTTATCCAAACATGGAGTACATCTAATTTTTATGGTACATGATATGGAAATTCACTGTAGTATTCATATATGTACATAGGAAGGTTATGTCAGATTTATTCCACTTCCTTTCCTATTCCTGTCTCTTTTTAATATTTGTTTAATCTCTAATGATATTCTTGCTTTTATTTATGATCCTAGTAATTTATGTCTTTTTTACTTTTTTTCTTAATTAATCTTGCTAGAGGTTTATCAATTTTATTGATATTTTTCTTTTTAATTTTTTTGTAGTTGTAGATGGATATAATAACTTTATTTTATTTATTTACCTTTATGTGGTGCTAAGGATTGAACCCAGGGCCTTACATATGCTAGGCAAGTGCTCTACCATTGAGCTACAACCCCAGCCCCTTATTGATATTTTTCAAAGAACCAGCTCTTTGTGTTATTGATTTTTCTCAGTTATGTCTGTTTTCTATTTCATCAATTCTTTTTTTAGAATATTTTTTAGATGTTGATGGATCTTTATTTTATTCATTTATTTATATGTGGTGCTTAGAATCAAACCCAGTGCCTTGCACATGCTAAGCAAGCGCTCTACCACTGAACTATAACCCCAGCCCCTCATCAATTATTATTCTTTCTCTTTCCTGCCTTACTTTTAGCCTACCTTTAGTTTTACATTTGAAGTTCATTTTTCAAAATAGCTTATTATTGGGGCTGGAGATGTGGCTCAAGCGGTAGCGCGCTCGCCTGGCATGCGTGCGGCCCGGGTTCGATCCTCCAGCACCACATACAGACAAAGATGTTGTGTCCGCCAAATACTAAAAAATAAATATTAAAAAAATAGCTTATTATTATATCTTGCTTTTCAAATATTGTCAGTCTTTTAAATGTTTTAGATTTAATTTCATTAAATTTCTATTTAATAAAATCATTGACATTATTGGACATAAATTTACTATCTTACTAATCTCACTATTTGTTTTATATTTGTCCAATCTTACTTTGTTCCATTTCTTTCTTTTGGATTAATCACATTTTGTGTGTGTGTGTGTGTGTGTGTGTGTGTTTCTTGTTTTGTACCAAGAGTTGAACCCAGGGATGCTTAACACTGAGCCACATCCCCAACCCTTTTTAAATTTATTTATTTATTCATTTTGAGATAGGGTCTCACTAAGTTGCTGAGGCTGGCCTTGAACTTATGATCCTTCTGCCTCAGCCCCCCCAGCTGCTGGGATTACAGGTGTGCACCACCACACCTAGCAAGTGTGTTCTGGTATTCCATTTTATCTCCACTCTTATTAGTTTTTTCCCCTATGATTTTTAAAGTGTTTCCTCTGGTTTTGTAAAATCTACTTTTAACTCATTGTCGTCTACCCTCAAATAATACTGTGCTCTCTCATGTAGTGTTAGAACCAAACAACAGGATATTTCCATTTCTCCCTCCCTCCTTTTTACTAGTAATGTTGTGTTATGTTTTACTTATATGCATGCTATAAAGCCCACAAATAAGTTTTCAAGTTTATATGGTCAATTTATGTTTTAAAATTTAAACATGAGAAAGCTATTTTTGGGTTACCCTGAGGCTTCTTTAACCTCAGGCCCCCTGCAGGGGTGTACTCTCATCCTTGTATTGTGGTTATGGTAGCAAGAAATTCTCTCAGATCCTGACTGTCTAAAGTTGTCTTTGCCAGATGCAGTGATGCATGTTGGAAGGCAGAGGCAGGAGGATCACAAGTTCAAGGCCAGCCTCAGCAACTTAGTAAGACCCTACCTCAAAAAAAAAAAAAAATGTAGGGCTGGGATTGTGACTCAGTGGTAGAGTGCTTGCCTAGCATGTGTGAAGTGCTGGGTTCGATCCTCAGCACCACATATACATAAATAAAGGTCCATTGACAACTTAAAAACATTTTTTTAAAGAGAGAGTGAGAGAGAGAGGGGGACAGAGAGAGAATTTTAACATTTATTTATTTTTTCTTAGTTCTCGGGGGACACAACATCTTCTGTTTTTTTTTTGTATGTGGTGCTGAGGATCGAACCCGGGCCGCACGCATGCCAGGCGAGCGCGATACCGCTTGAGACACATCCCCAGCCCAACTTAAAATCATTTTAAAAGTTGTAAAAAAAGGCTGGGGATGTACCTCAGTGGAGGTGCATTCCTCCATTTAATCCCCAGTACCCAAAGTAAAAAATTAATAAAGTTGTCTTTATTTCATCTTCAGTTTTGGAGGACATTTTCACTGCACGTAGAATACCAACTTAATTATCATGTGCTTTGGTGTGGTTTGTGTTTATCCTGGGTTTTGTTGAGTGTTTTGGATCTGTGAGCACATAGTAGTTAATAATTTGGGGGGACATGTTTAACCATTATTTATTTATTTTTAAAATAATTTTCTAGCTGTAGATGGACACAATACGTTTATTTATTTATTTATTTTTATGTAGTGTTGAGGGTCGGCCCAGTGCCTCATGTGTTAGGTAAGTACTCTACCACTGAGCTAGAACTCCAGCCTCCATTATTTCTTCAAATACTTCTTTCTTCTTGTTTTTTGCTTGACATGGTTCCAAAGGTAAGGATTTATTAATTTTTTTCAGTCATTTTTTTTCTGCTTCAGTTTGGCTAGTTCTTATTTCTGTTTTCAAGTTCACTGATTTTTTTTCCTCTGTTTCTATTGATCCTATCCACTAATTTTAAAAAATTTTTTTTTTAGTTGTAGATGGACACAATATCTTTATTTTATTCTTTATTTTTATGTGGTGCCAGGGATTGAGCCCAGTGCCTCACACATGCTAGACAAGTACTCTACCACTGAGCCACAACCCCAGCCCCAGTCCCATCCAGTGAATTTTTAATTTCATCTACTACAGTTTTATCTCTCAAAATTCCTCTCGTTTCTTCTTTATATCTTCCAATTTTTTGTTCATTATGTTCATGTTTCCTTTAAATCTATGAATACATTTATAATAGCTGTTCTAAAGTCCATATCTGTTTGTTTCATCATTTCTGCCTTTTCTGAATCTGTTTTTTATTTGTTCTAATTAGTTATACATGACAGTAGAATACATTTTGACACTTTGTACACAATTGGAGAATCTGAGTCTGTTTTGACTGATTTTTTTGAGTTCAGCTTTGCAGGTCTGTTTTTTTTTTTTTTAATCAAATGCAGAATGGTGTGGATGTTACATTGTTAAGGGCCTGGATTTTGTTATTCTTCTTTAAAGAGTTGTTGGATTCATGTTGAAATCCTGACCCCCAATGTGCTGGTATTGGGAGGTGCAGCCTGTGGGAAGTGATTAGACCATGAGGGGAGAGCCCTTAGGAGAGATGAGAACTTTGTTACTACAGCCCTAGGAAACCACGCACAAGCCTTCAAGATGTGGATCACAGAGACCAACCACAGAGCCTGCTGGGAGGAAATGGGGTCGGAGAAGCTGAGTGAACCTTAGGCAGGACGAAGTAGGAAAATAAATTCACACGGAGACACACCTGATTCTCCACAAATGCTGGACACTTGGATGGGTTGAGCCCTCAGTGCAAAAATGAATTAAGACAAGCTGTCCTTCAGGGACTGAAGGATAGGATATCAACTCTTTCAAATTTAGGGCAAAGTGAAGTATGTGGAGGACAGATGTGGAGAATGACAAGCTGTCAACCTTACCCAGGTTGACAGCTCACATTAGCAGAGTGGTCCCAGACCTTTCAGTGGAGCATTTAACAGAGTGATCTCTGGTTAACAGTGCCTGGAGGTGGCTAGTGGAAGTGATTTACGTGTTAAAATCTAACTTTCAATGCAATAATTTTAAGAGGTGAGGCTTGTAGGAGGTGCCCCCCGCTCAGGGAGAGCCCTGATAGTTGGGGATAACTGTCATGAAAGAGGCTGGAGGGAGCCTGTCTGGCCTTCCGCCATGTGAGAACACAGAAGATCCATCCTTGAGGAATGGGCCCTCACCAAAACACTGAATCTGCCGGCACCTTGATTTAGAACTTATCAGCCATTTAGACCTGTGAGCAATGTATTTCTATTGTTTATAAATCACCCAGTGTAAGGGTATTTTGTTAAAGCAGCCTGAACTCTCATCTTCTCTCGATGGGCCCTACCTTCTTCCTGGCCTTAGATTTTGCTATAAACAACTCTCAGTTTAAAAGGCAACTAAAAAGCAAGGTAATTAGGTATCCTGAGAGCAAGCCAGCAGTGACTGTGGGTAGGACATTCCAGATAATGAAGTCATCAGATAGGATTATGAAATGCCTGTTTAATAGAATTAATACTAAAAGCCAAGGTTGAAAATAGGTGCAGAAACTAAGAAACTATAAAGAACAATCAAATCATATGCAAAGAATTGAATGGAAACTGTAGAAGAAAGTCCTTGATTTTGTTGAAATTTTAGTCAAATTTTTAATTTTTTTGGGGGGGGTGTTTTACTTATTTACTTATGTATTTAATGTGGTGCTGAGGATCGAACCCAGTGCCTCCCATGTGCTAGGCTATCACTCTACCATTGGGGGGATTTTAAATACAATGAAATTAAAAACTCAGTATATAGAAAATTAGTGAGCTAAAAGATAAATGTGGGTAAAGTATCTAGAATACTACCTGAAAGGATACAGATGTGGAAAACATGAACAGGAGGTTAGCAGGCATGGAGGCTAGTGCCAGGAGAGAATGAATGGGTAGAGGAGATATTGAAAGAGATGAGGACTTGGATCTGCACATGATGAAAGAGGGATTCATGTAGGTTATCCCAGTGAACCTTAGGCAGGACGAAGTAGGAAAATAAATTCACACTGAGACACACCTGACTGCAACTTGGGAACACAGAAGACCAAGAAGTTCTACTTACAGCTAGAGAGGGAGAGAAGTGCCCATCAAGGGTGCCTGAGCTGAGGAGGACAGCAAGTAAGGCTCAAGGTCATGGTGGACACTAACTATTTGATGTGGGAGGCCATCCTCACACGTCATTTGAGTTACCTCCCTGGGTTGTCGAGAGGCACTTAGACACATCTTTGTGTCCAGAGCTTTCCCCACCCTTCTTAGGTCCGAAGGCTTGTCCATGTGGAGGCGTGTCTGGCCACTATCCTGAAGACGATAAGACCCAATCATCACACCTGACCTTGGGACACTGCCCCCCTTAATCTTCATTGGATGGGATTTTCCCCAGAATTTTCTGTTCCCCAATAAAAGTCCACTCCCTGGCTTGTTCTCTCTCTCTCTCTCTCTCACTAGCCTCTTCAGTAAACCTCACTACCATAATAGGTGGCTGGAGGCTGGAGCTAGGAGAAGCCGTCCTGGAGCTGGTTTAAAGGTAATTAGAGTCTGTCTCTTTAATTCAAACTCCCTAAGGATTGCTCACGTACTGAACCTTCATTTATGAAGCCTGTGCTGGCCTCGGGCTAAAATCTGACCCAAAATTCTCTTCTCTTTTCTCTCCTACTCACACGGTTCTGGAGGCCAGAAGTCTGAGTTCAGGGAATCATCAAGGGCTGGTTTCTTTGGGGCCTCTCTCCTTGGCTTGCGAACAGCTCTCTCTTCTTGTTTTCATGTGGTCATCCCTTATGTGTGTCTGTGTCCAGATTTCCTCCTCTGCCCTTCTGGAGCTCATGTGCTAATGAGTATAGACAGACAGTAACAGGCTGCTCCTAGAGGACATGTCAGGGAAATGGTCTAAGGGATTGAAGAGCTAGTGCAAGGGCCCTGAGGTGGGAACATGCCTGTTCTGTACAAAGAGTGGGTCAGGCAGGGAGAGAGTCAGAGAGTGCAGACCTTACCTAGAATTGTACATCCAGTAAAAGCTTTTCAGGAATCAGAACAAAATACATTTTCAGACAACCTGAAAGAATTTACCACCCAGAGATTCGTGTTACCGAAAATTCTAGGAGGTGTACTCTAAGCAAGAAAAAAAGATATCCCAGAAAGGGCTGACATGCAAAAAGGAATGAAGACTAGAGAGAGGTGAACATTTAAATAAATTTACGTGATCCTGCAATCTGCATTTGGGGTAAAATTGGGAGTTCATAACCCACTTCAATCTAATGTATGAACTATGATATGTCAAGAGCTTTGTAATGTTGTGAACAACCAATAAAAATAAATAAATAAATAAATAAATTTAAGTACATACTGTTTAAAGCAACAATAACAGTTCTTGTAGGTCTGAAAAAATTAAAATGTAAAAATAGAATTTAAGTTAGGACTGAAGTAAACAAAGTTGAAGTCTCTTAGGCTCTGTTCAGGATGAACCAGCCCAATTCATTTAAGGCTCTGACCGTGGCCAACAGAGGGTCCACTTCTCTGGAGCAGTGTCTGAGAAGGGGATGCAGGCACAAGCACAGCCTACTTGGAGCGCAGGAGCCTGGGTGGTTGGAGTGTGGCTGGGCCAGGATGTTGGGGGAGGGCAGAGGAGCCTCTTCCTAGCTACCTGGTCACTGTTACCTCACCTGTGGTCTCCACGGGTCCTGCCTAGAGCCTGGACATTGATCTGGGAGATAATGCTTGGTAAAAGCAGCTTTTGTTAACCAAAGAAGGTAATTATGCTAGAGTCCTCAGATGACAAGATTGTGAGTAGAAAGCTGGGGTAAGTCTCCACTCAGGGCCTCCTGTTCCCATCAGGAGTCTCTCCATTGCATCAGGCAGCACACTGTCACCACCACCATCTTCAGGACATCTCTTAGGAGGACCTGGGGAAATATGAGGAGCCATGCTCAGCACTGATAAGTCCTGGGATTTGTTGCATGTATCACAGTAAATGGGAAAGTCTCTGGACTCTCAGAAGTACCTTTGCCGGTGCAGTCCCCTTTAAAGCTGTGACACTGGAGCAGTGTGAAGACTGTGTAAATGTCTGCTCTGTGTTCAGTGAAACTGACTCTGGGCATGTAATTTGTGTGAAGGAATCTAATAAAACATGGAGCTTTCAGACACTCCTCCTCACCCAATAGTAGCAATTCCTTTAAAAATTTCAACTCTGCCAGGTGCAGTGGCACATACCTGTAACCCAGTGGTTTGGGAGATCAAGGCAGGAGAATTGCAAAACAACAATAACAACAACAGCAAAAACCTCAACTCTGATTTTTTTGTCATAATGCTCTTCTGCACTGGTGGAAATCTATTTTCTGAAATGTATAATTATTTGTAAGATTTATTTCTTAAAACCATATAAATTATTTTTAAGTACCATTTCCTTTAAGGCAAAACAGTATTGTAACCCATGACTTTGGATTTCTTATGCAAACAGATATGAGAATACGCCATTTACTTAACACCAGATCATGAGAATCTAGAAAAGAAGTTGATGCAAGAGAGAGGATCAGTTTCAAGGAGGGACTTGGGTAGGCAATGAGAGCTGTGGGAGGATCAATGGAATGGAGATTTGTGGTCATCTCATAGCCCTGACTCCTTCCAGTGAGAGGCGGCTCTAAGATTCCACTAACCGCATTGGCTGGGGCTGCTCTGACCAATAGGTATGGCAGAGGCAATACCACAAGCTAGGTCAGAGAGGAATGCCACTTCCACCTGGCCCTCAACTACCCCAGAACACCCTGATGGAGAGGCTGCTGGAGCCCTCACTAAGCACCCTGTAGACACTCAGCATCAGCGGTCAACCACACGGGCAGGCCGTCTTGGATACCCAGCCCAGCTCGGACTGTACCCAAACCTCAGGAGAGATCCAGGAAAGAACTCCCAGCAGAAATTTCCCAGAACTTCAGATCTCAGAATAAATCAGTTGTTTTAATCCATTAAATTTGATGATAATTTGTTACATAGCAATGGTAGCTGACAGTCTTATATAGTCAAAGAATGGCTATATTGAAATATAGCAAGAGGTCAAGAAAAACAGGAGGTCATGGTGAGAGAACTGGATGTTTAAAAGCAAGATTTGGGAGGTGGTCAAGTTGTTGGTCATGACAAAATCCCAATCAAAATAACTCTTAGCATTTTTATTACATATTTCTGTTTGCAGTTTTAGCCTTTTTTGGTATTTGTGATTTCTGTGCAATATGAGTAGAACAACAGACTGATGGTTTGCATTTATTATTTTTTAGTCTATAAAAATTGTCAGAAAATGCCCTTTGACTTTTGTAGGATTGTCGTGGTCAGTACTGTTAAGATATGTTACTATTCTAACTCTCCCTTGTAAGTCCAACCAGTTTTTTGCTTTGCACTACTGTCCATGTCATTAATGGACCATAATGGGGAAAAAAACTGTTAAAATAGAGCATCCTCGCAATCCCCAGCAGCACAAACCAAACTATGTAAGGGGAAGGGCATCTGGAAGGGCACTGATGGTGCATGCGCAGGGAAGTAGCAGGGCCTGTGGTCTCCAGCAGAGGGGAGAGGACTTCCAGAAGTGACTTCAACTCTCCAGGGGGTCTCAGTCCTGCCATCTGTGCAGGGAAGCGCTGAGGGTCACATGATGTTAGCGTACAAATCTGATAAAATGTGTACAATGGGAGGGAATATAATTTTTCAGGAGAGAGATTCTGTCCTTCATTCGTATATTCCTGGGCTTGGCAGAGTGGTCCTGAGGGGCCAGGAGGAGGATAACCCCAGTATGAGTAGCAGAGGGAACACTGAATATATCCTGGGGGCTTTACACTTGCCATGCATCTTCAGCACAACCATTGTGTAAAGAAACTGAGGTCCTGATGGTTGAGCAGTTTGCTCATGTCCATAAAGTTTGTGGCCAAAGTTTGGTGCCACAGTCTCTCAACTCCATGGTAGGTAACCCTCCACCTGCACTCTGGGGACAAGATGGGGGTAGGGGTTGTGCAGATAAGATGGTGCCTATACTCTTGGAATCTGGAGGTGGTCATCTGAGAAGGCTTGTAGGGAAACGAGATCAGTGATCTGACATGACTTCAAGATGGGTGCAATTCCAGATGGAGGTGAGTCCCAGGGGCTCTTTTTGGGGAAATCATCAGAGTTGTGAGAGTCACAGATCATTGACTAATCAGAAATCAGGGAATGGCTGACCAGTGTGTTGGATGGAGTCATTTATGTGAATGCCCAAGTTAACCAGTTTGATGACAAGATGCAGGGTCAAAAGGAAATCTGGGAAGTTAGGGTCCAAAACCGTTTGTACACTCTGGGGGAACTCTGGGGTTTTACAGGGAGAATCAGGGCAAATGACTAGTGAATATGTCCAAACTCCTTGAACCTCAGAAATAAGGAATGTTGGGGAAAAGTTATGATGGCGGAGACCCAGTGTCCCTGACTTTGGTGCAGCCTGTGAGCTTCTTATTCACTCACTCTGTGCTGCCTGAGCAGCTTCCAGTCATGAAAGGGAAACATGAAATAGAAGCCATTTCTAGAAAAAATGCCTTAACAAATATGTAAGTTGAGGTTAGAGCATAGTAGACAGGAAGACCAGTCATCCGCCAGCCATAGGCTGCCGCTGAGCTGGAGAGATTGCCACCCAAAAATGGTCTTGTCCCTCCTGACTATGTGAGCTCCCTCTTCCCTGTCGCTTCCAGCCATTAATCATTCACCATCCCTTAGAAATGATTTTCCAAAGGACATTTAGATATAAAGAAATCTCAGCCCAGAATATCCATCTTGGAGAAAAGGGGAAATTTCGTTGCACTCTTGTGGCTGAAACTCCAGGCAAATCTCCACAAAGTTCCTGGGTTCTCCTCCTCTGCTGGCCCGTAGCAGCCCCGTCCTTCCCCACGTTGACCCCAGCTCTCCTTCAACTTCACTCCGCTGCCTCTTACCAGGGCAGAGCCCAAGCCGTGTTTCAGTTGAGTGAACATGAGCTCAGTGTCCACTTTTCCGTGCCTTGGTGCAGGCTGCAGTGCTCTGTGCACAGAAAGTTCAGCTTTACCCTTGGGCTGGCCACCCCGACCGGCCCCGTCAGGGGAAAGGCTGCTCCGGCCCAGTCAGAAGGTTTCAGGGAGCCATCTCCGTGG